GAGATGAGAGGTGTGGGGCTCAGGGGCAAACCACAACCAGCACTTGGGGGGCAGTGGTCCCAAGGGGAAGTGCTGGGAAGACCTCAGGGGCCCCATCTCCCTTGGGGCTGGAGTCTGGAGGAGCTGGGCCCTTTCCTTCCCTTGCACCTTGAAGGCCCTTTCTTCTGTTAACCAGGCTTACTCTGCAGCACCACAGCTCCCCTGGCCCTGCCCTTCGGTTGTCACCACCGCCTCTGCACACCCCACCGGCCCCGGGCTGCTTTCTCTGCCTCCCCATAGGTAGTGCAGGGTGCAGAGTCAGCATCCGATGGTGGTTTAAGGAATGAACAAATGAGAACTTCCGCAGGACCCAAGAGTTTTGTTCCTTTTTGCTCTGCATCTTGTCTTTAAAGGGAGGATTCATTCATCTTGTTAAAAAATGTGGCAGGTGATCAGAACCCTGGACAATATATTCGAATGTCAGCTCCAAGTCATGCTGCAAAGCAGAACTACCCTTACCTCACATGCAGCCTAGTGCAAATACAATACACCATGCAATGTGTCAGGGTCATATAGCAAGTTCATCGGAGTGAGAATTGCATGACTGATGTCAGTGATATCCTCAAGTTTCTGCAAATGATCCTGCCTCCGTGGCACTACCATCAGGCGGTCCACCAGCAGTAATCCATGTCTACGTTTCATTGTGGAGAAAGGAATTCTATCTCACTTTTTAAATTATTATGATTATTATTATTATTATTATTATTATTTGAGATGGAGTTTCGATCTTGTTGGCCAGGCTGAGGAGCAATGGCACAATCTCAGTTCACTGCAACCTCTGCCCCCAAGGCTCAAGAGATTCTCTTGCCTCAGCCTCCTGAGTAGCTGGGATTACAGGCACCCACCACCACACCTGGCTAATTTTTTGTATTTTTTTAGTAGAGATGGAGTTTTGCCATGATGGCCAGGCTGGTCTCAAACTTCTGATCTCAAGTGATCCACCCGCCTCAGCCTCCCAAAATGCTGGGATTACAGGCATGAGCCACCGTGCCCAGCCTCTATCTCACTTTTTAACACGCTACAATTTAATACCACCTGACATGCTGTACATAGGAATCAGGATAGATTTGGGATAAACGAGTCTTAATGAAAGGATACAGTCTCTCCCTCTAAAGTCTAAAGAAACCTGAGCCTCAGCCCACATGGGTGGGAGCCACAGGAGAGGTCGGCTCCCTTCTGAGGTGCTGCCTGCTTTCGCTGACGGCCTTTGATCTGCAGCTCCACTAACGCACACCCTGAATACCATCAGGTGTGCCTAAACCTTCCGCCAAACACGGGATTTGTTGGGACAAAGTTATTGCGGACAAGGGACGTGATATTGTGAAATATATATTTGGTCTTCAACCCCGCCTCCTGGCATACAACTCCTAAAATCTGTGGAATCTCCAAAGTGAGTTCTTTCTTTATGCGCATGATTGGCTGATGGCTCACATAGCTTCAGGATGGGGTCGGTCACTGGAGAGCCCAAGGCAGGATTAGAGGGGTGGGACTTTCAGCCCAGCCCAACCTTGGAGGTGGGGAGAGGGGCTGATGGCTTAGGTAATCACTAATGGCCTTCATGATTTAATCAATCATGAAGCTTCCAGAAAAAAAAAAACCTAAAAGGACAGGGCTTAGAAAGTTTCCCGGTAGCTAAACACATCGAGACCAACAGGAAGGCCAACAGCAGCTCATTCGCAGGCAGGGAGGGGACGTACCCCAAGTCCATGGGGGCACAAGCCCCCATGCTCCAGACCCTTCCAGACCTCTGTGTCTGTCTTCCTCTGACTGTTGGTAGCCTTCAAAATATCCTTTGTAATAAACTAGTAAACGTGAGTGTTTTCCTGAGTTCTGTGAGCCATTCTAGCAAATTAACTGACCGGAGGAGGGGTTGTGGGAACCCTGATTTATAGCCAGTCAGTCAGAAGCACAGGCAAGATAACCTGGGGCTTGCACCTAGCATCAGAAATGCGGCAGGGTGGGGGCAGTCTCGGGGACGGAGCCCTCCACCTGTGGGATCTCACACTATCTCCAGGTAGACAGGGTAGCGCTGGAATGAAACGCAGAGCTGGTGTCTGCTGCAGGACTGCTTGCTCGCTTTTTGGTGAGGAAAAACCTCCACACATTTGGTCATAGCAGTCTTCTGTGTTGATTCTTGTTGTGGTGTGAGAGCAAAGGAAAAACTGGGTTTTTCCCTACAAGGGGGAAGTGAAACAGGAAATTCTCCCATGGTCAACATACCTGAATCCTAGAATGTGTGCATACTTACATATTTTCCTTTAGAGAGGCAAGGTAGGATTCCGTCTCCGAGGAAGACACGTCTGAGTCTAATTTGGCCAAGTAGCGGTAGACGTAGGAAAACGTCTTGAAGGGGATGCGAGCGGGCCCGCCCTCCGGATCGTCCGTGAGGATCTCACACAGGTGCTTCAGCGCAGTGTTCAAGGACTAGGAGCACCACAGCCAGGTGGGGAGAAAAACAGTTACTCCTGGCATCACTCACATTGAAAACAGGCACCAGCAGAATCAACACTCTAGCATATCTGACAGAAATTCTCCAAAAAGTACGCTCTCCATCTGAACTGAGAACTAGGGGAATGTACAATTGCCATACTGAAAAATCAAAAGGAAAGGTTTGAATAGAGTGCAATTGACCAGGAAAAAATTCTAATTCACAGATCTTATTTTCTATTCAAATAGAAATGACTGTCACAGACAAAAGGAAGCATCAATGTCTTTAAAACCAACTTCCTAAGCTAATGCAGAACTGTGCAGCCCCAACTGGCCCAGAGACACACCCGGGGATGTGCCCAGGGGCTGAATGAACTCTGCCACCAGCCAGAGGTGCTGCCTGCAGAGGGCAGGGCTGGCAGCCAATGGCCTGCATGCCTACAAGGAGGCCCTGGGTGTCAGCCGATGCCCACCAGGCAGAAGGGAGGGCTCTGTCCTGGCTCCATCCCTGTTCACACAGAAGGCTCTGGACTCTGTCTTAGCTCCAGGACAACACCTGGACTTCCTCCCTGCAAACCATTCATCTCCCTCACACTCTTCCAAACTGCTGGGCTCACCTCAGACAGCGGCCCACCCTCCGCTTTCAGAGGGAAAGCCCGTCCTCTGAGCAACCTTCCTGCCTCCACACGGCAGACGCTTTCAGCACCTGCCCTCCCAGCCAAGGCCCTGCTTGGGGCAGCTAACAGGCCAAGGTCATCTTCATGAGACCAGAGGCTTCGTGGTGCTGGAACTGCAGGGCTTGGGCACCAGGGCCCCCCGGGGCCAGCCCGTGGCCTCCCACCTCCAACTTGCTCAATTCATCCTTGTTGAAAAAACATGAGCTGTTTGTGTGTGTTTGTTTGAAGGAGGTGGGGGAAACCTTGTAACACAAGATTACTATCTTTTCAAAAGAAAATGCATAGCCCAGGTCTCCTTTTCTCCTTCTGCACCAAGACATCACGGTGACCTGCAGCCTTCAACACCCTGGCCAGGGTAAGCTGGGGGGGGCAAGTGTCCTAATTCCGCAGCTGGCCTATGGGACCCTCCTCTCGGTCCCCACCTCGAGTCCCTTCTGTGAAGCCCGTCCTTGCCAGAGTGGCTCTCTCGTACCTGCCTGGATGGTCACACTGCCTACTGATGAAGGTGAGCTCACACGGGTGGCTGCTGAAATGTACCCCCCCTTGCCAACACACACACATGGCAACAGCCCTTCATTCCCTCCACATTTGCCAAGTGCCTGTTACACACCAGAATGTAGCAGTGAACAGACGACTAAGCCCTGCTCAGGTGGAGATCCCAGTCGAGTGGGAAAGCCACAACACCTGGATTCTAGGGTGCTCTGGAAGGGGGCATGCCTGGAGCAGCAGGCAGGCAGTGCCGGGATGGAGGGTGACACTTTCAATCGGGTGGTCAGGGAAGGTCAGAGCAGGTAGCATGTAAGCACAGACCCAGGGGGAAGGAGCCGGTCATGTGGGATGCTGGGAGAATTCCAGGGGTACTTCTGTGTGTTCCAGAAACCGCCAGGAGCTCTGGGTAGCTAGAGCAGGCCATGGAGAGGCAGGAACGTGGGAAATGAGGTCAGCGGGATGGGGTGGGGGGCAGATCACGGGGGTCTTTATAGACCCAGGTTGGACTTGGGCTTTGGCTGGGTTCTATGGGAAGGTGTCAAAGGGTTTTAAACAAAGGCAGAGCACTGTGGAGTGTTTCTAAGGAGTCCTTCTGCCGATGTGTGAACAGGAGGAGG